AAGAAACTTGGATGAGAAGCAAAATGCTTTCAAGGAAAAACAAAGAAAGTCCAGTTGACCTTGAAAAAGCACCTTTGGTTCAGTGCCATATGATATATTTCTAATGTATCTGTCATTGTGCTAATCTTTAATTCTTATAGAGCAACACTGATTTTTATAGAATGTTCATTGAATTATTGCCTGGTAATCTAATTTACCATTCCTTAAGTGTTATTAGTATAGTGTCAGTTATTGTTGAAATCTATGCAAAAATCAAGTTTTTTTAAACTAACATTAAACATGAAATATTATGTTTGTTAGAAATATCTTATAATGGGTATGATTACACTAATATCAATAAGAATGCATTATCCCTCACTGAAAAGAATATCACTATTATAATCTGTATAAAATAATCTGTAATAAAACAGTACACTGAGTACTAGTTAAGGATCATCAACTCATCCTGATTTAAACAAGAGATGATGGGAATAAATGGATTTAATACAGACTTCTTTGCAAGTAATAACTTCAGTAACAATTGAAGCTAGCATATGTAAATCTAATAATCCAAGGATACTGATTTACATCTTCAATCAATGATTAATGAAAACTATTCAATTTTAAAACGCCTTTGCTGAGATCTCTTAATAAAACTTACTAGTGAATGAAAACTTTGTGTTAGTATAACAACATATTATAAGCAAAATTACAAAAAAGGTTTTATTTTATTTATGTTGCTATATTTATTCATTAATTTGCATTTTATTATGAATGGGTAATGATTAAATATCAGTAAATTTCCACATTTTCCCCAGTATTTAAATTAGAGTTTTTGATTGGTGTCAAGTCAATGTGCATTTTCAGCTATATTTTCAGCATATTTTACCCAAGGTTTGAAATACAGAAAATATGTGTTTATAATTTTATTAAATATTTCAAATTTAGACAAATTAACCTGATTTTTATAGTAAAGTTTTGTGTGGTTCATGGTGGAGTGCTATAAGGTTGAGAAGTATATATAATACATTGTCCTTTTTCTGTTTTTTTACTTCTTAGCACAATTTCAGCAGTTTTTCCATTACAAAGTTCCAAAAGGGATGTTTATTCTCAAAAGGCACACATTCTGCAATTTCTTTGCTTAATGACATTTTGTTCAAAGTTTCCTTTTAGTTTTAGTTCAAAGACTAAAAATACTTCTTTTCAAAGGTCCTTCTATGGGCAACTTATCTAAGTGGTTATTATGTGATATGGTGTTGTATTATTAATCAGTTTCTGTAATTGAACTTTTCAGATTCCAAAGAAGTAATGAGTCTATAGGCAGTTCAACATTCTTCTACTATTCCATCATCTTCCTTTTAGCACTTTCATGTTCCTGTTTAAATATGGCATTTCATCCTCATGGCAGTCTTAAGACATCCATTCTTTTTCCTTTCTCCTTTCATTGACTCCATTAGTTTCATACCTTGGTCATAAACTCTACTCTTTTACCTTCACTGTTCTGCATTTGGCTACCATTGAAGTGAATAGCAATGTTTCCCTAATGCAGTAAAGACAACAATGTATAGAATCTGTTAATATATAAAATTTTATTATTTTATTAATTTTCAAAATCATATAAATTCAGATCTTAGGTTTGCATTTTAAAAACACAATAGGAAGTGATCTTGAGAAATAGTATGATTTACAGGTGAAACTCGAAAAATTAGAATATCGTGCAAAAGTTCATTTATTTCAGTAATGCAACTTAAAAGGTGAAACTAATATATGAGATAGACTCATTACATGCAAAGCAAGATAGTTCAAGCCGTGATGTGTCATAATTGAGATGATTATGGCTTACAGTTCATGAAATCCCCAAATCCACAATCTCAGAAAATTAGAATATTGTGTAAAGGTTCAATATTCTAGGCTCAAAGTGTCCCACTCTAATCAGCTAATTAAGCCATAACACCTGCAAAGGGTTCCTGTGCTTGATTGGCCAGCAAACTTGCCTGATCTGAACCCCATAGAGAATCTATGGGGCATTGCCAAGAGAAAGATGAGAGACATGAGACCGAACAATGCAGAAGAGCTGAAGGCCGCTATTGAAGCATTCTGGTCTTCCATAACACCTCAGCAGTGCCACAGGCTGATAACTTCCATGCCACACCGCATTGAGGCAGTAATTGCTGGAAAAGGGGCCCAAACCAAGTACTGAGTACATATGCATGCTTATACATTTCAGAGGTCCGATATTGTTCTATGTACAATCCTTGTTTTATTGATTGCATGTAATATTCTAATTTTCTGAGATTGTGGATTTGGGGTTTTCATGAGCTGTAAGCCATAATCATTTATTTATTTATTTATTTATTTATTTATTTATTTATTTTATATGCCGCCCAATCCCAATCATCACAATTATGACAAAACAGAGCTTGAACTATCTTGCTTTGCATGTAATGAGTCTATCTCATATATTAGTTTCACCTTTTAAGTTGCATTACTGAAATAAATGAACTTTTGCACGATATTCTAATTTTTCGAGTTTCACCTGTATTTGTCCATTGTTGACAGAAGCCATCTTTTTCAGTCTTTTTTGCTTAAGATACTCAGGAATTTCTTACTAAGTGTTCATGCTGTAGCCAAATACTATGTTTTATATTAATTTAATCTTTTGTTTGTTTATTTATTCAGATTTGTTATAGCTGCCCAACTCCGATGAACTGTAGGTAGTGTACAAACAAAAAAAAATCCATAAAAAAAGATAAAATAAAAACCACACAGGCAGCCCAGACTAAAACAATATAAAAGCAATTCAAAACATCCCCACTCCACCCAAAAGGCAATAATATATTAACCCCAGGCTTGGGACCAAGGCCTGCTTTTAAGAATTTTTAGAACCCTAGGACAAGGGTCACCAACCCCTGGTCCGTGGACTGGCACTGGACATGCCAGAAACTGGGCTGCGCAAACAAGCAAAGCCCCATCTGCAGGATGCAGGCAGTACATGAAACCACGCCCCCTTTGGTCTGCACAAAAAGCTGTCTCCACAGATCTGGTCCCTGGTGCTCAAAAGGTTGGGGACTTGTGCCCTAGGAGAAAAGAGACCTCCTTATCTCTGGAAAGATGCCCTTCCAGAGGGTAGGGGTCATATCAGAAAAGCAGTGCTTCCTCAGTCTCACAAAATAACAAAATTTAATATAGGGAAACTGGAATGCATCCACCCTCAGAACATAACTGGGTGAGCAAAAGCAATTTGAGATTATCAGATATCCAGACTCTACTATACAGGTAATTAACAAATAGTATCCTTTGGCAGTTGCCTAGGAAACTTTAATAAGCTTGATTCCTAATAATCATTATATTTCTGGATGATAATATTCATTATTGTTATTTAATAATATCCAAAATATAAAAAAACAATACAATATCATGCATAGTTATATAAATTACATTCAATATATAATAATAATTGAAAAATAAGGCCCATTATATATAAGTTGCAACATACAGTTATTTAACCATTGCCAATCCTGTGAAATAATAGACTAGTCTTTATGTGAAATGGTAATTGGCCATTGTAAAACATCTTGAATTTTTGAAAATATGCTGCATGCCAAAATTATATTGCTTTTATCTGAAACCTTGATTCAGTTTCAAATTTTAAACAATTAGCTTCATCTGTACTATTACCAATAAGAATAATGTGTTTTGTTTTGCATAATTAGCTGCATATTTCACAGAAATTGACAATTCGCAAAATGGGAGGAGTAAAAAAGTGCTTTCTCCCAAGAATTCATATTGAAAATAGGACCTTTTGAGTTATTTATGAATTGCCTGAATAAAGGGGTAAGCAGTAAAATTCCCCCGTTTGTGAATCATACAAAATCATCCAAGGCAGCAATAAAAATGTTAATTGGAAAAGCTGCAGAATTGTTTTCCGAACTGAAAATGGCAGCTATTATTCAGAGTAAGTAATATGATCACCTGGGGAGATTGTAAAGAAAAACCTTAATTTCTCATATACAACAATGGAATATAAACAATTATTTACTGACCAGAAAAAGGATTTACCGAGAGAGTTATTGTAGATAACTCAAAGCTGTGAAAACAATGAATTCTGTATTAAGGGTCATTGTAAAAACACAGGATTTAAAATCAAATTGGAATGCCTTTTAACAGCTCTATAATGCAGCTACACACTTGGAGTACTAGGTATAATTTTCATCAGCACGCTACTTTATAGAGTTCAAATAGATGTAGAAAAGGAAGATCTGAATATTTTGGATGGCACAGTTTTCTTTCAAAAAAAGATTATGACTTGTAGAATTATTTAATTTAGAAAAATATGACTAAAGAAAACTATGATAGAGATTATCAAGTGTGGATATAACAGAGAAATTTCTTTTTCAATACCAAGAGCTAAATCTAAGCTCCAATTTAGCTAAATGGTGGAAAATTGGTACCAATATCCTGTGAGTGAAAACAAGATACGTCAATGGCCACCAGTTTAGAAAATTTTACAAGAGGGTTAAAAAAATTCAGAGAGGCAGTTTTACTGACGTGGTCATGATGAGTACGTACCTTTTTCTGAATCAAATCTTCCTCTGAATAGCAATTATTGGAAGTACAAGAGTGAGAACAATCTTTTCATGCTTTTGTGTAGATGTCTATGAAGAAAAAGAGGTATACTAAACTTTTCCTAGTCTGTTAAGTATTTTATATCAGAACTGTATAATTCTATGAAATATAGTCTTCCATTTGGCCTTGGCAACAAAAGTTACGAACCGTATGCGCACTAAAATTAAAATTGTTCATGTTTTTCAATGGATGTAGCTGTAAAATTATATAAACCAGTATATTTGAAATCTGGACATAGATTTTTTTATGATTATTTACAGTGAGAAGTATACTGCTCTGATATGAAGGACGATTCTTTTCAGTAAATCACTACTCTTTCTATTTGTGAATTCTGAAATTTTCCATCCTTTATGATTGTTCTTAAATGTCTGTTCTTTTTCTTTTTAATTCTCAAGCTCACTATTTGGATAAAATAGTTAAAGGTATTGTATACTTGCTCTTACTTAACATGCTTCCATGTATCTCTACATGCCTCCATATATCTTTGTGTATATTATAGTGGTCATTCCATTAGACTTGGCAAGTGCAACATATTCATACTCATTGAATTACAGATTTCATTCGTGTTACTTTCCATATGACTTGGATAAGAGAAGACTTAGTGTTTTTGTTATCTGTTAACATTTTTACTAAGCAGTTTTTTAAGCTTTACAATATGTGTATAAATAGATTCACTTTGATGGTCTGACGCTGAAGATTGCTAGGTATTTGTTGTTTGTGGTGTCTAAGTGTCCCAACTTTGTTGTTGGAACAAATGGTCAATTATTCATGTATAAAAAAGATGAGAAGTCCCCCTGACCTGGAAATTTATAATAGAAACATGAGTTCAAGTCTGACATGAAAGAAAAGTGAGAGACATTAAATTCTGAATTCTGCATTCAAATATCTTGATGTATTTTTGAATACCATCCACTAAAGTTAATCACTAAACTTTTTAACTTCAAGGAAAAAATTGTAAGAAAATCTGTGCAATATGAGAAATTTATTTTATGTGCAAAGTTGATATTTGAATATAACATTTAATATAAATACTTCTTAAATAGTAAAACCACTAAACAGCAAATATTTTCATATCTTCAGTTGTTGGTAGAAGTCTGGCTATTTAATTTATTTATTTTTATTATCATCAGTGCTCCCCTTTTTTCCAGATTGCCTTTCTTCTATTCCTTATTTGTGCTTTTTCATTAGAGTATGGCAATATCCAGGCTTTCATAGAATTATTCATAATTGCATCAAATTGTCTGCAATACCTTGATGCTAGGACAGATGAAGCTGTGTATTCTATGTAGTAATCAAGTGGAAAACATTATTTCAAAATTAAAATATATCCTCTGTATGTACAGTTAAAATGGGCAGGTAGCAAAAAATGCTAAAGAAAAAGCAGGCCAAATATAATCTAAGCCAGGTAGGATTATGTGACATCCATAACAATAGTTTCATCATAACTGGTCATGAGATGTTACTATATTCCATTTAAATTAAGTTATTGTTTAATTTGTGCTAATGTAGGTAAATAAAGATATACATTTGTAATTATTTTAGTCTAATAGGCATAGGAACAAATTTTTTCAATAATACTATCAATCTCCTGGAAAGAATCCTGTTCTAGAACCCAAAGATATACGGTAGACAGAAAAAAATTTAAAAGCAATGGCACATCTTATATATTAATCTGTGTGGAGTAAAAATTAAGTCCTAAAATCTTATTTGTAGCTAGTGATTATAGTTCTGCTTTATTTGCTTATGCGAATGTCTTACAACACTCATACATAAGGAATACTAGAATTTTACATATCTATATTTATATAATGTCATCATTCTCATACAGGTCATGTTGGCTGCATGCCAGGTTTTCATCAATATGAATTGACAAATACTGTTTTTGATGTAATGTTAGATTTAAAAAATAGATCTTGGATATATTAAATAATTTTAATTGTTTCCCAAATTTTCCCTCCTTGGCCATAAAAGCAGACAAGATAGGATATAAAGGTAACAGAACAAAAGCCTTAGGGAGATTGTCACAAAAAAATTATAATCACTCTCCGCTCTGTCTTGAAGCACGTCACTACCGTGTTTTTGTTCAGTCTATCAATGTTTATTGTGGTCCTTATGGTATTTCATTTTGTCCGTCCTAAATACTCAAATACGCACAGCTATTACATTTAGTTGGAAATCTTGTTGGTCCTGTCCCATCCGTATGCAGCCTGAATCCTAATGTTTGTTAGACTAGATGCTAAACTGCTTCACTATTTCCTGAGCTTTGCTTATTCTGTGGAAAGGAATGTATTTTTGGCATAAAGTATAGTCATACAATTGACATATACTTTGTGCAATTATTTAAAGCACTGTAATTTCACATGAATATACGGCAACTCTTGAGACTAAATGAAATTAACATTCTCTCTTATTGAATACTAAGGAGCATACCTTCTTTTGAATTTTAAAAATACTTCTTTAAAACAAGGAGCTTAACAAAATCTACATATACAAATATATCAAATCATTATTCTTAAGAATAGAAGCACTATTGTTTTATCTTGAGGCTATGTTGTGTGCTGTGATGCTGATGCCTGCTGTTTCACTAAAGAAAATGAAAATACAATTTTGTCTGGCCCGCAGGTATTTAGTGGTTTCTTAGATATATTTCCTGCCTGCACAGGTAAGTGGTGTCTCAAAGTGTCAGACAAATCAAAGATGCCACTTAGTTAAGAATAAGAATCCCAGTTAATGTTGCTGTTACTTTCCATGTGCAATTACAGTATTTGTGCTGTTCTGAAGGCCTGTTCCCAATAAGTGTCTCCTGTTTGTATTTTAATTAGATTGAAATATTTTTGTAATATTTAAATCACATGGAGTATCCTTTTTGTCTGTTTTAACAGAGGGATGCCCTGGCCTGTGTAATAGTAATGGAAGATGTACTCTTGACCAAAATGGCTGGCATTGTGTTTGTCAGCCTGGATGGAGGGGAGCAGGATGTGATGTCGCCATGGAAACTTTATGTACTGACAGCAAGGATAACGAAGGAGGTAGGAGGTGTAAAGCAAAATTCTTGCACTGCTAAAAATGTGAAATTATTGGCTTCTTAATCAGGTGAACAAAATACTGCTGTGAGATTGATATAGAGCTTTTACTACCTGGGATGAGATACATGCAGAAATGTGCTTCAACATTTATTGCCTTCATTTTGTATGCTATCAAATCCTTAAGTGCTGGTTACAGCAAGCAAAATGTGTACATCAAAACCCATTAGTGAACATTAGATTATAACTGGTAGTATATCTATCAAAGAATAAATACAATAATCCAGTGAACTTTATCATAAAAGTGCATACCAACAAAAATGGTTGTGAAATCCATTTTCAGATTAAGTTTTGAAAAAGTTACAGGAATATGCTGAGAAATAGCTTCATAAAAGCTTTCCTTTTTAACTGCCTTTATCAACAATAGTGTCATCCCCAATACTGCATACAGGCTGTCCTCAACTTACAATCATTGATTCCAACACATCACTTAGCAACAGAAATTCCAGTCTCAATTGCCGTTCTGTCGAGGACTGCCTATAACTGTGTATTAACTATATCTTTCAACATTTCCACCAACTTGTTTAAAATTTAGGTCTTTTTACCCCTTTTGAATCCTCCCAACTTTCATATTCCTGACAGAAGCAAAACTATTCTGTTTCCTGGGTTACATTCAAACCTTTATTTCTCTTTCCCTTTTATATGGGCCATTATCATAAGTTCCTTTCCTGGTTTTTCAGATTTCTCTTCTCAGTATACCTGGATAAAGTTTTTCATGTTGCCTATCTCCTTCAGCCTCTTCTTGCTTGCCCTCTGTTTCTTAAATTGTTATAGTTAGATTTTTACCTTGCATATTTAAGGGGATGCTGAGGTACATTTTTAGTTAACAATTTTGTTATCTCTTTATATTTTACTTAATTGCTTAAGATAAGATGAAATGCCTGTGTGACTTTATTCTGATCTAGATCATATATATTCCAAAGCAGACATGTCAAATTCACAATGTCACGTGATGTCGCACAATGTATTGGGACGGTTTTGCCATTGCCGGCAATGGTCATCCGGCCCATGGGCCGGCAGTTTGATACCCCTGTTCCAAAGGGTATCCTCATTTTGTAGCAATTTTTAATTGTTCTGTGTTTACCATGTGAGTAATTTTAAGTTCTAGTCTATCCACACATTAAATAACCATGGAAAACTATGGAACATTAAATCTAGTTGGACCATCATGAGCTACAGTCAGAATCTAAATATAAGTGAAAATATAAAGCATGTGCGCTCTCTGTTATAACAAAAGTAACTAATAGCAGAAAAATGTTAGGAAAGTAACATATCTCTTAAGGATGACAGTTTAATGTTAGATTGAATGGTAAAACTCTGATCTCAGAGCATAACAATTTTAATCATCTGCCATTATACTGATTTCTAGCGTTACTTAATATTGTATAAAATCTTGAGATTAAGATTTAAAAATTATAATAAGAAAATAATAGATAATGCCACTTATTAGCATAATAAATTTTAATTTCTATAATAATCAAATAAACAGTATGGACATTAATTTCCCTTATTATGCAGAAACACTATCCTGCCCAGTAATAGGTGTAATTTAGTATTCAAGCAAATGATCCTGCTGAGTGTCATTATGTATGCACAAGGAATTAAATAAAAATCTATTACTTTAATTCCTCCTTTGTCTCTAGGTAGATAATATACTAATACAAAAGATATTACCAAATTGTTGAATTACATTGGTAGACATTACAAAATTTACCCTACTAAATTCAAAAGCACCTCCCAAAATTGTTATAAAAAAATCTTAGCCAGTAAATCACACAAATTTATCATTATTTATTCAGTTAAGTAACCCTAAGTTGACAGGTGGGAAAAAAATTCTGTAGGATAATTAGAGTCCCTTAGGTGAGATGGGCAGTATGAAAATTTAATAAATAAATAAAACAAATTAAAAATTGTTTAGATGGTTTGTACACATGTAGTAGTATGTTCCATCTTAAAAGATGCAGAAAAAAATGTAGCCCTGTTGGAAAACAGAGGAAAAAATAAAACCTGTACAATGGGAGTGTTGTTATTGTCACAGATATATCACAAAATGCTGAACAGTTGTTTTAGTTCTTCAGATTTTAAACTTTCTCATATTAAGCTATAAGACAGATTTGACAAGTGTGATCACAGAATCTAAGTAGCTTTTTCTGTTGAAAAGTGATGGGACTGGGATGCTGTTTAAAGCAAAACAAGACTCACATGCATTTATCATGCATTTCAACCAGAGTATGTGCTAGCCAGTTTATTTTAGTCCTACTAAGCTTCTCAAGTGCCAAACTAACTAGAGATCTATTGTAGCATGTTTGATCATGAAAATAGAACAAATGAAATAGAATGATCATTACAACTTTTTTCTTATTATTCACCATCTGAGTTTGTAAAATCAGAATAAGACACTTTAATTCTCATATCCTATTGTACAAGTATAAATAAACCTTATCTGTATCGAGGAAATCCAAGATCAGTGCAAAATAGTAGGATGTCTCCCTTTAACTTATCTAGTCAACTACTAATTTAAGGAATAAAAACATATCTGAGTACTGATTAAAATAAACCTCAAACTGTGAGATGAACAGCATATAAATTTAATAATAAATAAAAATAAAAATTACTTTACCAGTGAAATAAGACACAGATAGTTTAAGATTCTGGTTTGTTCCAAATCTGGTAAGTGTCAAATCAAATCAAATCTACAGTAAGTCAAGTGCTATGTATGAAAAAATTAGGAGAGCTCATAAATAGCTCTACTTGACAGGCAAAGGCAGGTTTGTGTATTTATTTGTTTGTTTTAATTGAAGCTACATATATTGGCAAGGACATTCACAATGTGATTTATGCCAAATTATATTTTCTTACTACCTAATTCTTTCACTGCTTTTCAATATATGTATGTAAATGTTGTTAATATTATTTAGGCTGCTTAAGAATTAATAATAATAACCAATAGTTTTGGTTATCTTCTTTTATGAAGATTATTTTTATCCCCTTCTTATTTGAAATGTTTCAGATAGCTCCTGATTATTCTGTACTTTTTTCTCTGAACAGTTTCCAAGTATATTCTAAACAATAAGATCAAAGACATTAAAAATATTCCAGAAGTGGATGACATATATTTTAAATGGGGATAATTGCTCAAGGTGATTCTCATAAACCCTTTCTGTTACAATTAACTGCATATAATAATCATAATTTAACTGCATATAATAATAGTTTAAATTATAATAATCATAATTTAATTTTAAAGTTTTTGTTTGATTTTTTTAATTCAAAATTTTTAAATTAAAAATTAAAGAAGAATCCATTTTTGGATTCTTAAAGGAACTGTGATGTTTCTAGAAGCATTTCACCTTTTTTTTTACAGAGGCAATATAACATTTGGAAAAAGTACTAGGCATATAAAATATATAGACAGATTTTTTTTCTTTTAATTTAGAGAAAAACAGATTCATAACTATCCATTGCTCACTTGGGCAAATAACTGATAAACGTCATAAAAATATAAGAAACAGCAAAGTGGCATGGAAGAGATGTGTTGGAAAAAGGAAGATGAAGTGGTATGTTTATCCGGAAAAGAGAAGTTTTAAATGATTAAAAGTCTTCAAATACTTCATACCTCCGAAGAGTAAGACAAAAATTTCCTAACCATGAATAAACAACAAAATGGCCCACCTCCTGATTTGGAGTCTTCATTACTTTGGTTTTCAAGTAATGGTTGAACAACCATTAATCTGAGCCAGTTTGAAGATTCCTATCCTGGGAAAGGGTTGCCTTAAACGACCTCCAAGGTTTCTTCAACTCTGATTCTATTAGCAAAAGTAGTGACAAATGCCTGAGGAAATACAAATTTACACAACATTAGATTCAGCACATAGTGGAAAAATTAATTAGTGTGTGTTGATGAACTTTTTGTAACACCTTCCATTCATAAATATTTTTATCAGAATTTTCCCACGAGTTAATGTTATCAACATTACATTGCTGGGCATCTTTTAAAAACAGATATTTGCAGCCTTTCTATATATAGAGATATTTATATATATAAATCAGACATGTCAAACTCCAGCCCGCGGGCCGACAGTTTGACACCCCGGGTATAGATGGAGGTTCAAAATGAAGTATATAGAGAATCATCTACTGAATGAGACTGTATATAGTATAATGTATACTGTACATATGTCAATTTTGAAAATGAGCAATGATTGATTGATTGATTGATTACATGCTATCCAATTGATGTCATCTTGTAGTAATCATATACATATATTGACAGATGACAATCTGTCACTAATCTGCTTCTTCCGGCTTCCAACAGAGCACACATTGGCACTGTAACTGAGGCCATTAGTCTTTTTATCTGGGTACATGTGATTCATTTTTATGGATATATCAGTAGGCATGTAATAATTTGCATGTAATTTGTCTTGTTAAATTTTATAGAGCTAGCTTTCTTGTTCTCAGATAAGTATCCTTTTAAATGTAAGGGGAAACTTTTTGTTCCCTCTTGTCATCATTTTAACTAACTAAGATTGAAGATTCAGAAGTGTTTTTTTTTTTTTCAAATCATCATGTATTCTATGTTTTTCCTTGAAAATCAAAAATATCCTCCAGACTATTTTTTTAACATAAGAGACTAAATCAAATGTAATTTGGGGATTTTAATAAGCTGGTTGAAACAGATATAGAAATGTAGATATTTTCATAGTGTTTCACAATGAATTTTTAGTCATAATGTGGTGGTGGAGAGTTTTTTCTGTGAAAACATCCATTACAAGATTGTGTAAATTAAGCTATTTCTGCTTTTTCAAAAAGTTGATTAAAATACTATTGTTAGCATTATGAATGATCACAGCAACACTACAATTAATCTTTTGCATGATTTCTTTAAGAGCAGGTTAACTTATCAGGTTTTAATTGCTGCCATTTAACTTAGTAATAGCTAGGAACTTTAAAAAGCAGGTTCTATACTTTGTTACATTTTTCATCTTACTGTAAGTAGTAAATGTTTTTAGCCACTAGCTGAATATTTAAGGAGAAAGTTTTGATGACTGAAAGCCATAACAAGGAAGGTAATAACATCACACAAGTGGGCAAGATTGTGGTTTTATAACAGGAATTGTTGTGAGTTTTGAACATTGTATTTCATAAAAGTTTCAGTGTGTTAAGCTAATGCAATAGCGTTCATTGTTTTTATCTTATTCTTGCAGAAAATTAGCAGAAAAATGTATCCTGAAAAAGTTATACTTAAAAATTCTTGTTCTAAAAAATTGCTTACTATTTTAATAAATATATAAGATTGATTTGAGGGCTACATGCCAGCTACTAATTGTCCATCAAATTTTATGCAAGCTACTAATTGTCCATCAATATTTTGGACATTTTAAATTGTTCATTTATGGTTGTGTTACTTACATAGCATATTCAGATCTCTTTTAAAACACAAAAAATCTTTTTTCTAATAATATGGAGAGTTTTAGTCACACAGCTCATACTTTAAGACAAACTTTTGCCAATATTTCTAAATATACATTTGGGATTTGAGACATACTGTGCTGATGGAGCATATAATTTGCATACAGGAAATAAATCTTGGATTAATTGATACAGTGGAGAAAGATTCCCCTTTCTAAAACTCCCATCAGTGTAGACATGATTGGACTAGGTCAATTCAAACTTTGATTCAATGGGAGCTTTCTTTGTTTCTAAATATCAATATTTTTATTTAATTATACCAATGGATTTTTTATAAATAACTGGCTGACAGAGGTCAAGAGTTTTTTTAAAAAATGTCATTCTCTAATGATCTCTGCTCTATTCGCTGATATATTGATTATTATGAAATATATAAAAATATACTGAATTATTTTGAGCTCATTATTTTGTTACAGTATGTGACTTACTCTCTTAAAAATACTTCAGCATTTCTTCTCAGAAACATTTATACATTCTTCAGAAGAATCTGTGTGGCTCATGAATCATATGCCTTGTGTAGATCTTTATGTATTATTCTTACTTTCTTTTTAGTGTAAAATTTGTTTCTTCAGTGATACACAGTTCAAGAAAGAGAGTATATATACCAAGTCATTTACATTCATTAACAACCTGTATTTCCCTTCTTCCTTAAATGACATAATCTAAATTCTTCCATTAGTAGTGAGTCTGAAAGGGTTTCTGCATCTTATTAATATTAATACTGTATATATTAACATAGTAAACTATGGTGCAGTAATTAAGGCACTAGGGTAGAAGCGAGGAGACTGTGAGTTCCAGTCCCATGTTGGGTACTAAGCCAGTTGGGTGACCTTGAGCTACTCACTGTCTCAGTCTTCTGATGGAGATAGTGTCAAATTCCTTTTGTAAAACCTGGCTAAGAAAACTGCAGGGACTTGTCCTGGCAGTTGTGAGCAATCTGACAGGATTGAATGGGGGAGCGAGAGAGAACACACACATACACACACACACAAAGAAACACATTCCATGAGTAGCAAGAGGTGCAGGTATTTCTTTGTTGTTAGTTTGCCTGTATTTCATTCATCCAATCATGAATTATGATTGTTTCTTTAAGAGCCCTCAGAGCAAGAATTACCTGTTGCCTAAGGTGGATTTTTACTAAAAATAGAAATTTCTGGAGAAGATTGTAATTCTGTTTAAGGATTTTAGCTTATTTAATAAGTGGGGGTGGGGATGTATACATAGGCACATGAATGTACACAGGACACACATAAACATATAGAGGGAGTGGGAGGAAAGGAGAGAGAAGAGAAGAATAGAATAGAATAGAATAGAATAGAATAGAATAGAATAGAATAGAATAGAATAGAATAGAATAGAATAGAATAGAATTTTTATTGGCCATGTGTTATTGGTCATACAAAGTAACATAATCTTAAAATAACAACAATAGAAGGTAATAGGAAAAATGAGAAGGGTAATAGTTATACAATCCTACTACATAAGTAAATATCTTTAGACATAAGACAGTGCTGTGGGAATTAGGTGTTCAGCAGAGTGATGGCACAAGGGAAAAAACTTTCTCTGTATCTAGTTGCTTTGGCATGCGGTGCCCTATAGCTTAATCATGAGAGGAGGAATTGAAACAGTTCATATCCAGGATGTGAGGGGTTTGTAATATTTTATCAGCCGTCTTTCTGATCTATGCAGTAGACAGGTCCTCAATGGAAGGCAGGGTGGTTGCAATTGTTACCTTCAGTGCTTTAACAGAGGAATCCTTCAAGATGCAGTCATTGGTATAGAGCAAGCATGTCAAACTCGCGACGTCACGTGACGTCGCGCAACGTATCGGGCCGGTTTTACCATTGCCAGCAATGGGGTGGGTACGGCTTCCATGTGATGCGTCTGGCCTGTGGGCCGGCAGTTTGACACCCCTGGTATAGAGAAAAAAGAGTAATGGAGAGAGATTTAGCCCTGGAGAGGCACCTGTGCTAATTGTTTGGGTATTCAATGTGATTTTACCTGCTGCTATCTGTTAGTTTATAATCCACCTTCAAGTGTGGTCAGGCATAGCTAGCTGAGTCACTTTGGAGCAAAGAATTTCTGAAATGATGGTGCCAAGCTGAAGTCTACAAAAAGGAGCCTTGCATACATCCTTGGGGATTCAAGATATAGTTGTAGTGCAGCGCCATGTTAACAGCATTGTCTGCCAATCTCTTTGCATGGTGGGCAAATTGCAAGGAGTTTTAGCAGCTGATCCATAATGGTTTTTATGGGCCAACACTAACATTTCAAAAGTTTTCATAACTACTTATGTCAGAGCAACCAATCTGTAGTCATTCAGCTCTTTGATCGAGGGTTTCTTGGGGAACAGGATGATTATAGAGTGTTTGAAGCAAGAAGGGGCATAACACATCTTCATTGTTTTATTAAAGATGCGGGTGAAGATGAGGGCCAGTTGATCAGCACAGACTTTCAAGTTAGAAAGAGTTATTCTGCCTGGGCCTGGTGCTTTTCCAGTCTTTTTTCTGTGAAATTGAGAGTGCACCTCTTTTTTCTAGGATTACCAGAGGAGGGTGATAAGTTCTTTACCTAATCAGAGCTCCCTACTCTTTTAGCTTAAAAAGAAGCTAAACTTTTATTTTTTTTCGTATTACATTCAATATAACAATCATGTAATTGCTCATTAGAGACAAAATACTAATAAGAAGTATTGTTGTTTTTCTTTTGACTTTTTTGTCTGTAGATGGATTAGTTGACTGCATGGATCCTGACTGCTGTTTGCAGAGTTCCTGCCAAAACCAGCCTTTCTGTCGAGGATTGCCTGACCCACAAGATATTATTAGCCAAAGTCAGCAATCACCATCTCAGCAAGCTGCTAAATCCTTTTATGATCGGATCAGTTTTCTTATAGGACCAGAAAGCACACATGTTATTCCTGGGGAAAGCCCATTCAATAAGAGGTGACTGCATCATTGTAGTATTAAATAAAAAGTAATGTCTTATGGGCTTTTTTACATTTCTGATACTCTTATTTTTTTTCCCCAGGATAGTTGGAAACCTTCAAACTTTGAACGTCGAACTGTGTGGCTATTATGTATAAAACTTCAATCAGTTTATAAACCTTTTCTTGTTTGTGGTGCCTATTTCTAGTAGAACATTAAGGGTTTTGCAAATCTTATTCACCCAATGGATTTGAATTAGCACTGCTGGAAGTATATCAAAAATGTGAAAATACTTCTGAAAGGAAGACAGTAATGCACTTTTAAAACAAAACTGAATGCATAATATAAATTATGAATTGTTTTAGTAACACAGTGAGTTCTATAGCAGCACAGTGCATAAACTGCCTTGGCATGCTTTATACAGCAGTGGCACATTTCAAAATAAGATGTAATAGAAAGTAGGTATTCTGTGCTTTATTGAGAGAAGGTAGGTAATTTATACTAGAAGTCTTCTATCTGGAATAATTTAGTTGCATTAATCAGGCTTGACACAACTGTGATTAAAATCATTAAAGAAATGTTTCTTAAGACTCCCTTAAATTCTGTATTTTTCATCCCTCGAAGATGCAAAATTTCTTGCCTTAAAGACCTTGCCTAAAAACAAACTAGCAAAACACATCATTACTAATTTCTTCATTTTACACAATGATTCAGAATGCTTTGGTTCAGAAAGCCTTGCATTTGAAATCAGGGAATTGTACACAGTAGTAGGCATTTACAATAGTGTCCTCCTGTTATAGGATATCATATAAATTGAAAAAAATGAATACATACATATGTCCATATATACCACAAACTGAAATTTATAGAATTAACAACATTTTTATTTCATAGCTCAGCAGTATTTGAAGAATGAAAAGAAATCATGTCATATACAGAGGGGAGCATTGCTTCTTGAACTTTTCCTATTGGCTATTGATTTTGAAGTATTGTTTTTCTGATTAAATGAAATCTACTACCAAGTATTTTTAGTTATATTTGCAGTTGGGAAGGAAGATGCCGCAGTTGAAAATTCTAAAACTCAAATTCCAAATATATTTAACATGGAATTAGTATTTTAAATTCCATAAATTAAATACACTATAAATACACAATACACGATAAATTAAATAAATAAGATTGCACTATAAAGTTCTGCATAGCCAATAACATTTTCATAGAAGAAAATACCGGATCTGAAATGGACCTTTAACAACAAAATATAGCTGGGCACAGTTATATTTACTTGATGCAACTTTTTGGTATTCAGATATTGTGTGCTCACATATATTGTTAAAGTATACCAGAAAGAGTCACTATAAATAATTAAGAATTTGAAATGAAGTTGAAATTAAATTGTGTATTATTCTGTGAAACTAATATTTAATGTTTATTGTTGGAGAAAATATCATTTGTAAGATTTCTGAATGATCTAAATTTGTGTCTTTCTCCACAGTCTTGCATCTGTCATAAGGGGTCAAGTATTAACAGCAGATGGAACACCACTAATTGGAGTTAATGTCTCCTTTTTACATTATCCTGACTTTGGTTATACAATCACTCGTCAAGATGGAATGTAAGTTTTTTTCATGCACCTGAAATATGGCAATTTTCATTTTTCTATCTATATATCAGAAACATTGCACTGATATGTTGCAGAATAACTGACTATCATAAGGTTGAAACTGGTTGGGCTTTGATAAGTTACCACCAGGAGTAATCAGATTTATCAGCTACATTGAGAATAATAAAAAAAAAAAACCTGGTTTGCACCAGTATCAAACCAGTGCAAGAAAACTACATAAATATGTTCCTGAAGTCACAAGGAGTTATACTTAACTTAGAGGAGTTATTACCATTAAATCTTAATTGTATATATCGGTTGGAAAGTTTTAAATTTAATTAAGATGTATTACTAAATAATTATCTGGTTTACCTAGGTTTGACTTGGTGGCAAATGGTGGTGCATCATTAACTTTAGTATTTGAACGATCACCATTCCTTACTCAGTACCATACAGTCTGGATTCCATGGAACGTCTTCTACGTCATGGACACTCTTGTCATGAAGAAGGAGGAGAATGACATTCCCAGCTGTGATCTGAGTGGATTTGTGAAACCAAATCCCGTAATTGTATCATCACCTTTATCTACCTTGTTCAGGATCTCTCCTGAAGACAGCCCTATTATTCCTGAGACACAGGTAAAGTGCCATTTAAGTGTAAAGATTTTTGCATGCAGATCATTGTAATATATTTTAGGTCATTAAAATAACAACAAAAACAATAATATATAATTTGTATTGGGATTATCAGCATGCTGGTTAAAAATTTTTAACTTTATCAATTCCTGAGTATTTATCAATACTCAGATAATGTCTTAACCTTTCTATAGTTCATTCTGACCCCTTGAAGTCTCATTAGTTTTATTTTAGAGTAGATCCTACTTCACTTCTGTTTCCTGACAGTTTGTCTTACCATTTTCTGACCAAACAATTATCTGACACCAAATAGTTAATTTGCCTAAAAGAAATCTCACATTTTGCTTGGCAAACTTCTGATAAGTGCAGGAAAAGATTGAATTAATGCAGATGTCTCTGCTTTTTACACTTCTGTGTTATTCCTAGAATATCTGCCTACATCTGCCTATAAAAGATTAATTTGAGCAAGTATGCTTATTGGAGAGAGTTACCTCCACGTCATTTTTCAAAATATTGAAGAATTTGGATGAGGAGAGTTAAGAGTTCCCAGATGTAGAAAAGCTTTCATTCTTTGTTGTTCGTTTATGGTTTTTTTAATTGGATAGTATACATTTATGTATTCAGCACTATTTAATATCCATCTACTTACCTATTCACGTTATATTACAAGTGCTTGGAAACATTTGCTTGTTTTATAACTTGATATTCATTTCAAACCCATGTACATGTATTCACAAAAATGCTTTTGAACCCTTTCTTATCTATACATAAACACAAAGATAAATGAATGCCTACATTCTGCCTTAATAGATATTCTCTTGTTTTGGAATGTAATTCCTTGCCTGATACTTCTATAGTGTTCATTGTAGAGACTAACCAGCATTTCAAACATATGTTTATGAAAATGTGTTAAAATTTAGAGAAAATTTATGACAATAGGCTGTTAAAAGCTTCTTTATCACTATCCAGTTTATCAATATCTTCATAAAAAAAACTCTCAAAACTAAAATGGCAGCACATGGAAAAATAATGTCTGGTGAGATTTAAAAACAATGTTTAAACAATTACTTGCCCATGGGATAGTTATAGCCCATGTTATGTCTCTGTGGTCTGCAGATCCTATTTTCATATGACCTTAAGCAACTTCCATGTAATCCTTTCAGCTGTTTGGATCAGGTGTTATTTCCACTCTTTCCAAAGATAAAATAGTAGCTTTTAGCAATGTAAAAACTATGCCAATAACTAACGGGTGATTTTTTTTTCCTCAACACAAATTATTTTAGAAAGTTTTTCTTTCTAGCAGCTCCTGAAAAGAATATATTAAATGTATAGTTTAGGTTCTCAAAGTTGTTTATCGGTAAAATAACTTCCAAATAATACCATGACAGAATTAATCTATTGTTAAGTTCAGTTTCAGATCTGTTCTCAAGAATCTGGCTAATAAAACATCAGCACATTTTATTTATTTTTCACGTTTCTGAACCATCCATTTCCCTCAATAAGCAGTAATTGTCTCACACAGCATTATCTGGAAGTCATTTCATCAATGATATTAAACTGTTTCTAACTGTATCCCATCACGATTACAGAATCTCTTACAGGTAGTACTTGACTTACAACTATGACTGAGATCAGAATGACCATTGTAAAGCAAGACGGTTCTTAAGTGATTTGCACCTGATTTTTCTGGCCTTTTTTGCCACAGTTGTTAAGAGAATCACTGCAGTTGTTAACTGAATCAGGCAGTCATTAAACGAATCCAGCTTTCCCATTGATTTTGCCTGTCAGAAGCTGATTGGGAAGATCACAAATGACAATCACATGATCCCAGGATGCTGCAATGGTTGTAAATAGATGCCTGTTGCCAGTTTTGATTACATAACTGTGGGGTTGCTGATGATTATTGTAACCAGGTGGTCTGATCTTACAAGTGAGGAATGATTGTAAGACACTTTTTTCATTGCCATTATAACTTTGAACAGTTGCTAAACGAATGGGATATAAGTCGAGGACTACCTGTTTTGTAATTGTACATACAATGTCGTCATACAGGTAGTCCTCAACTTAACAACAATGTTCAATGAGCAATCAATCAGTTCAATGACTGATCAAAGTTACAGTAGCACTGAAAAATGTGATTTACGACCATTTTTCACAGTTACAACCTTTGCAGCATCCCCATTATCATGTGATCAAAATTCAGATGCTTGGTAACTGATTCATATTTATGACCATTGCTGTGTCCCAAGGTTACGTGCCTTTGCAACCTAACAAAGTCAATGGATTCACTTAACAACTGGGTTACTAATTTATCAATTACAGTGATTCACTTACTGTACAACTGTGGCAAGAAAGATCACAAAATGGAGCAAAACTCACTTAACAACAGAAATTTTGGGCTCTATTGTGGTCATAAGTTGAAGACTATCTGTATATAGTTTGGTCCCCAACATATTTCTTATCTTTAGTTTTCTTTCTTTAACAGGTTAATTTTGAATTTATGTCACATATTTTTCTATGGAAAAGGTAGTACATAAAACCATGTAACAATTATTGTTTTAAGTACGAGGGCAATTCAGAAATAAACCTCCGTTTGATTATCAATGACAGACATCACTGATACAGAACTTTTATTATACACATTAGAAAACTACAAAATTACATTACTTTTCGACATAATCACCATTCAAATTGAGGCACTTGTCATAACGTCTTACAAGGTTTGAAATTCCTTAGTAGTCTCTCGGCGCCAAATCTGGGCTATGGGAGGTGCTAAAAAACATCCCAACGGCTTGACTTGACCGTTGGAAAGGAAGTCGGAAGTCAATGCCTTTTTTTTCTTTTTTTCTCTCTTACCTCACTTTTCTACTCCCCTTTCCCTTCCCCATCTTTTTCACTATTCACTTTTGTATTTTCATTGTATTGTATATTAAAACTAATAAAACATTCTAAAAAAAATATCCCAGCAGAACTGCTTCAAAAGTTCTTGGGTGCATCTAGGGGTGTGCGGGTAAGCATTATCATGAACCAACATTACACTGGAAGTCTGGCTTCCAATGCTTGTTATGGATGGCTCGTCTGAGTTTTCGTAACATTTCACAGTAGACTTCTGAATTGATGGTCAAGCCATTCTCTATCAACTTCACTAGCAGGACTCCTTTGGCATCTTCACATTTGGTGGGATTTTCTATTTTCTTCTGGTGTGGTGTTGGTTCACAATAATGCTTGGCTGCACACTGCTAGATGCACCCAAGAACTTTTGAAGCAGTTCCATTGGGATGTTTATGATCACCCCCCATAGCCCAAATTTGGTGCCGAGCGACTACTAATAAGGAATTTCAAACCTTGTAAGACATTATGACATGCCTCAATTTGAATGTTGAAAAGTAACGAATGGAGGTTTATTTCTGAATTGCCCTCATATTTAAGAAGGAATTGTTGTATCCATAAGTTGGAACCATGCCTGGTTGTGCTTAAAGCAATCTCCCTGAAGAACAGGAACGTTAGCCATAACCATTTTGTTTCATATGATTTAATTGGTTCTATCTTAGAGATCTATCTTAAAGTGGATCTAACTTCTCTTACTATTTTATTAAGTAAGGGAGAAGCAGTTATGATGAAGACTTTATGAAAAGATGTGTGAATGATTTTTTTACTTGCATGATTTTTCACTATATCTTATCAGTGCAGCAGCTGGTAAAGACGGTATTATATATAATGTATTTTGGTACAGGAATACATCATATGTTCCTTCATAGTTTGATTGGTTTGAATGACAAGAAAAGTGTTTTAGTTTATTAATTCAGTTGCACTAATACATTATTTAAAAAAACATTTATATGTAGGTAACTAAATGCCATCTACAAATTATTTTAAAAACTATGCAGTAGGACAGTGATGGCAAACCTTTTGGAGACCAAGTGCCCAAAAACTGGCCCTGCCCCCACTCCATGCCCCCACCCCGCCTGCCCGCAGGGCCACTCACCACCTCCAGGGCCTGCCACAAATCGCACAGGCAGCCCAGCAGCACCATTGCGGCCATACCCTCTGCCCGCGCCCCACAGCATCAACTGTGTGGGATGGGGTGTGAGGGCAGAGTCTTATCTATGCTGCTTGGCTGCCATGTTCTTGGCTGCGCTGCTCTGTGTGGGCCACACTCAGGAGACTCTCCAGGGGGGCTGCTGGTGAGAAGGGGTTCACGGCAGGAGGCAAGGTTGGAGCAATAGCATGTATGCCCCCAGAGAGGGCTCCAAGTGCCGCCTCTGGCACGCATGCCATAGGTTCACCACCACTGCAGTAGGATAATTATTCTGAATCATGCAGTAGAAAGATTATTCTATATAAAATACAGGCAGGTCTGCACAATTCATAGAAATGAAAAGAGCAGATTAATATCTTAAAAACCATTGCAAAAGAATAACTTGACACTGATTAACTGTTTGGTGGCTAGAGGTGGACTGGCAGCAGCTGGCAGTATCCATGAGGCCTGGGACCATTGGAAGCATTCAGCAGTATATCTTTCAGAGTAAACTGGCTGAACCCCTGGATGCTGGTAAACCCTTTGTCATGGTTCCGATAGATGAGATTAGTAAAAACAACTCCAAGGCAAGAGATTTCCTTAAAGAACATATTTATTTGGCTACAAAGTATGATCAAAAGTGAAACCAAGACTGAAGTTTCCTCCCAAAGGTTACAATGTTACAAAGTTGAACTTCCCACCCCAGCAACACGACATAAATAACATTCCCCAATTTGGCGGGCTTTCTAATGGAAGCTTCAGCCTGCCAAAAGTCAGGCAGCAATGATCTTTGTTCCCACAGGACAATTTATTGTTTTGTCTAAACTTAAAAGTACATATCCCCTCTCCCAATACTGTGGCAACCGAAAACGAAGTGGAAATGGCTTCAGTCCAGATTGTTTGCAGTGCTAATACCCTTCTTGGAGGCAATGGCAATGTTTGGCAGGAATGGATTGGTTGTTTTTCAAAAACTACCAGTGGACAATATAAGGCTGTTTGGCAGGCCACGTGCAGCTTGTATGCTGCATGTTGTGCAGGCCTGGGCTAGAGGTTTCTTTCTGCACTAGATCTTAGTGCACTGGAATCATCTAGCAAAGTATACTAAAAAAAAAAGGTAACCTTTTCCCCCAAATTGATATTTTTTAACAAAGAAATCAAGAAAAATGTATTATATTCCATTGTTTCAAAAGATCTACAGCTCTACTGATAACTGATCCTGGTGGCAACTGTATTTCTAAAGTAGTATATTTCATATTACTCAGGCAGTTGTTGGCTAAGAGAACAAATGATCCAGATGTTTTCCTCCTTAAAATACTTTGATTCTGTGTAAATTTGAAAACAGAAAACCATTTTAAATAAAACATGAATATTAAGGTTGAATGGAAGAAAGGAAACAAGAAATATGCATGCTGAACTTTCTTCATCTTTAGTTATATTGGTGGGCTGGTGGAAATATAATTTAGCAACATCTGAAGAGTCATAGTTCCCTACCTCTTTATTTCCAAGATTTGAAGAGATACAGTCCTGAGGCAAGCAATAAGGACTGTGTGTTTTCAGTGCTTTATATTCTAAACAGCTTGATGTTGAGCATTATAGAAATAGGGCCATATTTCATACTATTTGGAGGGCAGAGTGGAAAATTAAATCAATTATCTTCCTGAGGAACTTTTATTGTTACTGTAACAATCTGATATCACAAAAAAGACAATTTACAAGAGACCTCTTATGAATACTATGAAATGAGACTTGAAATGTTATGGTTAAGACTGAATATTTTCTAAACCCTAAAGTTGAAATTAATAGATTTGAAATTTTGCCCTATGATGTGAATGCCAGAAATGACATTTGTCATTTGCTTGTTTCAAATCTGTATTTTATGTTTGTTGATAATATTTTAATAAATTTTAAGGGAAAAATTAAATTACCCAGTTATTCAGGTATTTGCACTGATAGCTTACAATTTTCCATTTTCTTGTGATCCTTTGGGAAGCTATTTGGACAGTTGTAGATCAAATTCATTGTGTGAATTTCTTTCCATTCTTGGTTAACTAAATAAAAGGAATATTTTGCCTTATAAGTACAATAATTTCACAAATCACAAATAATCTCAGGAGGAAAGGAGTGAGAAAAAGATTATTCTTCATGTCCATCAGCTCATTAATATTTCCTCAAGGTATTCAATATTCATCAAATGCTTTTGGGCTTCTGGCTATAATAAATATGAAAAGAATATACTGGTTTTTATTATCTATTTTTTTTCTAATTTTTTTGCGCCATTGTCCTGACATTAGCAGATTGAAAGTGGTGAGACTAACCGTGGTGGTGCAGTGGTTAGAATGCAGTACTGTGGGCTACTTCTGCTGACTGCCGGCTGACTGCAGTTTGGCAGTTTGTTTCACTGGCTCAAGGTTGACTCAGCCTTCCATCCTTCCGAGTTCGGTAAAATGAGGACCCAGAATGTAGGAGGCAATATGCTAACTCTGTAAACCAGGGCTTTTCAACCTTTTCACCTATTGTACCACTTTTAGGATATGGCAATATCCGAGTACCACCAGTTGCCTAGCAAGGTGTCAAAACCTTGATGACCAAAAAAAAAAAGTGATGAAGTACAGGTAGTTCTCGACTTACAACAGTTTGCTTAGTGACTGTTCAAAGTTACAATGGCACTGAAAAAAGTGCCCCCCAAGCCACAGCTGAGCAAGACACCTGCCTGCCCACCCAGCCGCGTTTTTCCTCCTGTCTGAGGTTTCCATTGTTGTGAGCATTTCTGTTGAGGATTGGCAGCGGGGGTGGGGTGGGGGTGTTTGGTTTTTATTCCCCCCATCTGCTGCGTTTTTGGTTTTGGTCACTTCACATGACCCTGGGACACTGTGACTGTCATAAATATGAATCAGTTGCCAAGCATCTGAATGTAAATCACAAGACCCTGGAGGTGCTGCAACATTCCAGCTGATCAGCACTTCTTCTGGTCTCAGCAGAAGCGCAGGATCAGCGTTGATCGCCTGGTGCTTCTGCTGAGCCCTGACAGCCATGCAGCTCCAGTCATCTCTCGCTCAGGCTTGTGCGGCGCTGCCACCAATTCAACTCATTCCCCTCCCCTGCTACCACTTTTCTAGGATGGTTGCGTACCACTTGCCAGGTGCCAATGTACCACAGGTGGTACCCGTACCACTGGTTGAAAAGCCCTGCTGTAAACCACTTAGAGAGGGCTGTAAAGCACTGTGAAGCGGTATATAAGTCTAAGTGCTATTGCTATTATTTACTATTGAATTTATATCTTGCCTTTTTATTTATTCCAATACTCATGGTGGCCTACAACAATAAAAACATAAGATATAAATCTTAATAAAATTAATAAAGGTAATTACAAAAACCAACATTAAAACCAACCATTTAAATAAACAGATATTTTAGATGGTGAGAAATTACAATAAGGCAGCTCATTAGGTCCAGGAATTCACAAAGATATTTAAAGGATAAAACCAATATATCAGCAATATATAATATACTAACATACCATATTTTTTAGATGTAGATAAAAGTAAAGCTAATGGCCAGTTTGGTGTAGCAGTTAAAGGCATTGAGTGAAAGTGTGAGTTCTACTTCTTTCTTGGCAGTTGGATAGCTTTAGACTAAGACTGTCAAACTCGCAACGTCATATGAAGTGTTGTGACCTATCGTGATTTTTTTGCCATTGCCAGCAATAGGGTGGGCTCAGTTTCGCTATGATGCATCCAGCCCACGAGCCAGCAGTTTGATACTCCTGCTTTAGACCAATCACTGTCTGTCTGCTCTAGGAAAAAGATAATGGCCAACCAAGAAAATTGGCTAAACTTGTTCAAACAATCAACAGGAATCAAGACTGACTTGAAACTGTGTATGCATGTGCACAAACACGCATACACATACACAGAACATGCATTAGAAACAGGAAAAACAATAATTGAGTTGGGCTTGGCTTCTGGGATTCCTGGAAATGGTAGCACAAATACCAAAAGCCATAGCTCAGAATGATGGCTATTGCTGAAATAATGGTCTGCCTAGATACAAGACAATTTATATGAAATCACATTATTAAGATTGTGTTCTTTTCTTATTTCTGGCAAAAACAATTGGAAATTTTTGCTGGCATAGTCTTCTTCCAATAGTAGTAGAAGAGTTTTAGGTTGGTGTGGTATTGATAATATAATCTAGACAGATAGTTTAAATTTTATGCTGATTAATCATTAATTAAGAATATTATTGAAGATTTCTATGTCAAACAGGTAAGTTAAATTTTCTGTAAACTTTCAGTCCAGATTAGTTTAAAAGAAAAAGGTTTAAGATATTTCTAATTGAATGCAGTCTCAAATTTCATCAACATTTGTATAATGTGTTATTTTCAATACTGCTGTATTTGCTACAGTTTCATAGAGAATATTTTTCTAAAAGTATCTGCACTTGTACATCTTGATAAAACTGTTAAAAATTGTATTTCAAAATTCCAGTAAAACTGGATAGTATATCATATAAAACTGAATAGTATATTATTCTTCAATAATTGGTACAAAACTAGGTTTACGACTATAGTGGTTATCTAATTATGTGCATTAAACAAATAACAAAGATTAATTTGTCATTTTTTTCATATTTTAGGTGCTCCATGAAGAAACTGCAATACCAGGAACTGATTTGAAATTGTCTTACTTAAGCTCCCAAGCGGCGGGGTATAAATCTGTACTTAAGATCACAATGACACAGTCTGTGATACCATTTAATTTAATGAAAGTTCATCTCATGGTGGCTGTAGTAGGAAGACTTTTCCAAAAATGGTTCCCTGCATCCCCAAATTTGGCTTATACATTTATATGGGATAAAACTGATGCATATAATCAAAAGGTCTATGGTTTATCTGAAGCTGTTGGTAGGTTTTGTTTGTTATCAGGTTCTTTTGAATATGCTGATATTATGTAGCAAAAATTATATTCAGTAGTATAATTCATGGTGGATACATTATATAGAAAGAAACAAAATTATGCAGTATCAGTCTGTTACTCGAACTGAATGTAATTTTTACATACAAATACAGAAATATGAAAGGAATAATATTAATTTTGTAACTATCACATTGATTGTGGTAAACTATTATTTTTACATTGGAGAAAGTAATAGTTAGAAATAACTGCATTGATTGGATCATATCTAACGCTAACTTACATGAAGAAAGGTACATTTGTTTTTGCAAAAAAAGCTGTATGCGGCCACGGTGTTTTCATAATTGCCTGAAAATTGCTATTCAGCCTCTGATACTTCACATGGAACCATAAACTTATTTCAAGGGAATATCAGTATATCAATATATGAGAGCTTCTCATTTTAATTATTCAGTTCATTAATTAAATCGTCAAATACTGAAAAAAAATTCTAATTAAATGTCCAAACCTGAAAATAAGCAAGCCCAAGATGTCTGTATATGCAAATAAACAGTTATTTACATATTTATTCATTCTATTTATACCATTCCTTCCCTCCAGGAGCTGACAGTAGACTATATAATGCTCCCTTCTCCAGTGTTCTTACAATAATGATGTGTGATAGATTGGGCTAAGTAATTGTGAAACTCAAAAATGTCCAATGAGTATCCACAGCTGGATTCTTCTAACCCTAATCCATCATTTTAATTAACGTAGCACACAATTATTCCATACGTGTAATGGATGTGAAAAAAGTTTTATTTAAAGTTATTTTAGCATAAAATTATGTTGGGTTCTTTCTGAAGTAAGACATAGGAGATGACAAACAGTAGAAATGTGCATCCATATTGGATGTATTCAACTTCTCCACTACCTAAATTAAATTTATATGATTATAGTTACCTCAGTTGGTAGACCAAATCAGTGGATGGAATAGACAATTTTTTAAAGCTACATAATTCACTGTACCAATTAATAGTAACACAATTTTCAGAGGACTATCAGTTATAGAATTACAAGAAACCCAATTAAATATTTGATAGTTTCAAGCACAATTACTTTGGACATAATTTTTATGAATTAGGATCTGTTTATCATGTGCAGGTTCAAATCCAACTTCAGCCATGGAAACTTATTTGGTGAGTTTAGGCCAGATGCTCCCAGCACAACCTACCTCGTAAAATTGTGGTAAAATAGCAGAGGAAGTGCTATATATGCTACCTTGAGCTCTGGAGGAAAAGTGGAATATAAATCTAGCAAATGAATTCCATAGTAACTTTTGCCATACAAAATATATTGGTTTTTATATAATATTTTTGTTACGCTTTTTATTGAAGTCAACAAATGAGAATAGTAATTGTGATCTTTGTATTTGTGAATCAGTAACTGTTACTTATTTATTGGATTCTGAATCAAGGATCAGTGACCTTTTCAAATGCCAGCCTTCGTGTCATATTTTAAAAGAATTCATTTAATTTTTTGAATTTAATTTCAAAATCTTTAATTTCAGAATTTGTGGGTACCACATTGCCAGCTTCTGTTTGGATTTATATTTTTCTACATTATATTGTTAGTGCTTTAATGGATATTTATTTAAATGTCAACATTTAAATTAATGAGATAAAATAGTAAAAGCCTCCAATGTTAAATGAAAATAAATTAATCATGACTATCAAACATTGCATTAGTTTATATAAAATAATTATTTTATTATTTATTTCAGTATCTGTTGGTTATGAATATGAATCTTGTTTGGATCTAACATTGTGGGAAAAACGGACAGCCATTCTACAAGGTTATGAACTGGATGCCTCCAACATGGGTGGATGGACACTTGACAAACACCATGTATTAGATGTTCAAAATGGTGAGTAGTATTAATCTTATAATGTTATGCAGTGCATATTAATTGAAAAGCACAAAACCCTGTTGGATTCCAAGTCTGAACATAATTGCACTTTTTTAAAAAAAAGTTTATAGGCATTCTCTTGGATAATATTGTTAGGTTTTCCAAAAATGTGATTAATTCATTATTATGAAACACAAAAACATAAATCATTTATATTCAGAAATTTACAATTCTCCTTTATTTTAAAATTCAAATTTTCAAGCATACTTTAACCCAGTGGTTCTCAACCTGTGGGTCGGGACCCCATTTGGGGTCGAATGACCATTTCACAGGGTCGCCAAACCATGCTGTCCGCCATTTTTTTCCCTTTTCCCTAGCTGTCCTACTCCCTCTTATTGGTGGCCACACCCATTTGGGGGTCACCACAACATGGGGAACTGTATTATGGGGTCACGGCATTAGAAAGGTTGAGAATCACTGCTTTAACCCACATAAACACCATGAAAATGTTTCCTTTTTCATAGTACATATGAAAATACCATATTGCTCTTTTCTGCCTCTCCAAATCAGTTAATTTCCATGCAAAATAGTCAGGTACATTTTCTTTGATCTGATTCTGTCTCTTCAAACATACTCAGTGCAATATATATAAACAAACAAATTGTGTGTGTGTGTGTGTGTGTATGAGAGAGAGAGAGAGAGAGAGAGAGAGAGAGAGAGAGAGAGAATAAGAGGTTGGTAAAGGAATATTTCCTCCTTAAGAAAATATCTCTGTAAGCACTAAAACTGAACACCAGCTTGATAGCAAATAATCAAAAAGAAATTGCTGATGAAGAATGAAGATTCTTCAATGGGGAAATAAGTAAACTATCGGCCCTTTCCCAAGAGATGGCCCCTTTTAAATGGGCCGTTAACCATGAAACAATATAAAAGAAAGGAGCTATCCAGTCAGTGTGGTAACTCATGTAAGGAAAAAGGAATTGATGGCCCCAAAATTATTCATATATACCGGTATGTTTATTTTATTATTTTTCTATTGAGTATATTCTGTTTGTAAATCAACTTCTGTGCTTAGAGATGTGCTTAGGAGGCAGTTGGCAAATAATGACTTTTGAAAGTGTAATTGAATAAATGAAGTGACTAGGATGAATGAACTGGAAAAATGTATTGGCTTAGAGCAAATATAGTGGCAGGTTTTTTATATGGATATCTTGAATAACTGCAATAGACTGATATTCATCTTTTCTTTGTTTATATTAAAAGAGAGATGTGAAGGAACAATTTTTTGGTGCAATGAGAAAATATGTAAATCAGATGGTATATTGCTAAGCTCTAGAAGAAATGATTAAATTTGTAGAACTCATGTATTTAAATGACATTGCAGGTTTCCTTATTGTCATAATGAATGTAATCATAGAAGTAAGGTTTCAGATTTCAGTAGTGCACTTTTTCTCTAAGTGCTTATGAGGAACTTAATTCCATGTACAGTAATGATACAGTCTACTGATAGGTAGGCAGGCAGGCAGGCAAGTAGATAGGGGGTGGATGGATGGATGGATGGATGGATAGATAGATAGATAGTATATGAAATATTTATCTAATGAAAATAAATTGGCTTGGATTGTGAAACCTCATAATAATATTTGAATGGTAATTATCATGAATTCTAATTTTAAATTTATACAGTCAGTGAAGCCAGTATTACTATACTGTACAAGATGACATGTACATTGCATGATTTAAGTTAGATTGAGATTTATAATGAAACAAATGTTACAATAATAGCTCACTGTTCTTGCAGCAGACTTAGATTGATACATTAATCTTGATAATAATGAGGAAAAAAGTCTGTCCAACAGACAGCATTACTTGTGAAAGTCTACATATGTACATATCTTTCTTTCCCACATTCCCTGTGAAGGTCATAAAAAATGATGCTAGCAAGATACTTTGTCTTTATCCAATGATTGTTGATGCCTTTGAGCAGAACTAGGTTTAAAGGGCAGATGGCCTGCAAAAGCATTTTTGTTGTGTTTGATATATGAGACTGTAACTGCAGATACATTATAAAACCAAACTCTGCAACCCAAAGTAAATTATTATAAAACCTTTTTGCAATGTGAAATTGAGGCTGTCAGAAAACTGCTCTACAATAATAATGTACTAATATAAGATTTTGATTCGTAACAGTACATCTATTTGTAGTTTATTCCAAGAAAAAAAAGAATGTGAAAACACTGCTCCAATCCAACATTCAGCCGAAACTAAAAGAAGACTAAACTAAAATCTGTATGGAAATGAATTCTGCAGTTCTCTCTCATATAGCAGACTGAAAAGCAGTTTATGCAAAGACACAGTCAACATACTAGCTCTCTGGAACAAAAGAAGACAAACATAATTTGGATTCTGTCCAGAAACAGAAGAGTATTGCTAACTGGGGTTACACGCACATAGCTCTTGTTCTTGGGCAGACTTGAGAACCAGCTGTACAGCAGCTGTTTGCATATGGTTCTGCTCCCATATTTGGCTTATTATACGTAACATTACAAGTCTAGATAGAAAATAATGTAGGAGCGATTCGTTATGGATTATCTGAAGATCCTTGTTTTTCTTATTACTGAACTAGCTGTAAATATGAATGGTTGAAAGGATTGAATGGAGGACAGGATATCTAACCATACATTGTTACACAGAGTTACAGTTGGAATTGAAAGTGCAATGTCCAGTGGGATTCGAAAACATTGTTTTCTGGCATGTGCTCACAATGCTTATGAACAAACTATTGGTGAATTTCATTGGTATGTGCTCAGATACACTATTCATATATCAACATCCGTGAAATGCAGTCACACTGTGAAATTTTAAGCTTACTATATTTAAAATGTATCTGGTTATAAAAAGTTATTACAAAGACAAAGGGGAATCATGTTTCTGTTTTTTTTATAAGGAATCCTGTATAAAGGCAATGGGGAAAATCAGTTTATCTCTCAGCAGCCACCAGTTGTCAGTAGTATAATGGGTAATGGCCGACGGCGCAGCATTTCTTGCCCAAGTTGCAATGGTCAAGCAGATGGCAATAAACTTCTGGCTCCAGTTGCCCTAGCTTGTGGAATTGATGGAAGTCTATATGTAGGAGATTTCAACTATGTTCGACGAATATTCCCATCTGGAAATGTAACAAGTGTACTTGAACTAAGGTATATTTTTCCCTAATTTTAAATACCTAATTTTTAGAATGCAGCTCTGATGACTCAGTAGTGTCTCTTTATCCATCAGAATATAAAAATATAAATGGTATCAAAATATTATTTTACTCACACAACTATAAAACCATTTAATATATCATAACCATTCAGGTGGCCATGCTAATGGAACTGCTGTATGTAAGGGCTACAGTGTTTGACTATCACTAAGTTTGGGTCTGGTTTTAGCCATGAAAGTTCACTGGGTGATTTTGAGTCAGTGTTTCTCGCTCAGCCCAAATGATTTCACAGGTTGGTTGTTATGGGGAAAAATTGGAGGATGGAGCATTGTGTATGCCACCTGGAGCACCCAGAAAAAAAGGCAGAATATAAATCTAACTAATAAATTAATACATAAAATTACGGCTAAATTCTTACTAGCAACCTTACCAATTTTTTGTTTCTTTTGACTTTTTCCTTCTAATACTGTTCTTTTTGCTCTTCCTTCTTTTGCCTACCCACCAAGAAATAAAGATTTTAGACATAGGTAAGCATTTTAAGCATGTTCATACATTTTGTAAAGGCTATTATTGGCTTTAAATGAGTAAATAAAGTACTACAAAAACTGCTTCAAACATTATTGCTTAAAACTATTCTGAGATAAATCTTAGTAAGTATAAGGTGAAAAATTGCTACTGTTCATTATTAATCAAATTATTTTCAAATCCCAGTTTAACCTGTTACATTTTAAAGTATGACTCCTTAGGAAAATGTAATGTTTAAAACAGATAAAACAATGCTTCATTATCTTTATGTATTTCTGATCTGTTTTTAAAGTATTGGCTATGTTTTATTTTAATGATCCACTAACTTTATCCTGCTACACCCCTCACCCATCTCAATGTCTTTTGGGTATCCACAGTACCATGCTACCTTTTTTTATGGAATCCAGTTACACATTTGACTGCTGGGCATTGGAGCTTGCAGTAATCCAGATACATAGTTGAGCATTGTATACTTATGTACAAACATATTTGGGTTTCAACAGAATAGAACAGAGGATGTTTCATCGCTGTGATGGAAAATCTGATATACAAAATTTAACCTTTGGCATCTCAAAGGTGTCAGAAGCTCTAACATTGGAATGGAATGGAACTGAGAACAGGAACAGAACAGAATAGAATAGAATAGCTTTATTTGGCCAAGTGTGGTTAGACATACAAGGAATTTGTCTACAGTGCAGAAGCTCTCAGTGTACATGTAAAGCAATAGAGTAATAATAATCATAACAATAATACCAATAAGAATAGGTAGTAAAGAAAAAGGATAATAATGCTACAGCCATACAAAAAGGGTAAATGTACATATGTACACAGTATTATACAATATTGTGAGAATTTGGTGTTCAGCAGAGTGATGGCATGAGGGAAAAAACTGTCTAGTTGTTTTGGCATATAGCGCCCTATAGAAGCATTTTGAGGGGAGGAATTGAAACAGTGTATGTCCAGGATGCTAGGGGTCTGCAGATATTTTCTCAGCCCTCTTCCTAACCAAGTTTTCTATGGAAGGCAGACTAGTTGCAGTTGTTCTTTCTGCAGTCCTAAATATCCTGTGGAGTCTGTACCTGTCCTGTTTGGTTGCTGTACCAAACTAGACAGTTATAGAAATAAAAATGACAAACTCAATAATTCCTCTGTAAAACTGTATCAGTAGGTCCTGAGGTAGTCCGAACTTCCTGAGTTGATGCAGGAAGAACATTCTTTGTTATGCTTTTTTAATGATGGTTCTAATTTTAGGTTTCCATTTCAAATTCTGACAGATTATAGACCCCAAAAACGTGAAGGACTCTACTGCTGATACTGTGCTGTCAGATATAGTAAGAGGTGGTAGAAAGGGCACCTCCTAAAATCCACTCTCATCTCTACAGTCTTAAGCATGTTGAGTTCCAGATTGTTTCGGCTGCACCACAGGGCCAGTTGTTCAATTTCCCATCTATATGTATACTTGTCACTGACTCAAATGAGACCATTGACTGTTGTATCATCTGCCAACCTCAGTACTTTAACAGAGGGATCCTTAGAGATGCAGTCATTGGTATATAGACAGAAAGGCAATAGAGAGAGCTCATAGACATTAGGGGCACCTGTGCTAATTGCCTGAATATTAGATGTAATTTTGCCTAGCTTCACCTGTTGCTTCCTATACATCAAAAAGCTAATAATCCACCCAGAAGTATGGACAGGCATAGCTAGCTGAATCAGTTTAGAATGAAGATTTTCTGGAATGATGATATTGATTGCCAAGCTGAAGTCTACAAAAAGGACCTGTGCATAGGTCTACAGGGATTCAAGATGTTGCAAGATACAGTGCAATGCCATGTTGACAGCATCATCTGCCAATTTATTTGTTCGGTAGGCAAACTGCAAGGAGTATAACAGAGGATCCATGTTGGTTTTCAAGTGGGCCAACACTAACCTCTCAAAGGACTTCATTACTACAGATGTCACAGCAACCAGTCTGTAGTCCTTTAGCTCACAGATAAAGGGTTCCTTAGGAACTGCGATGATAGTAGAGCATTTGAAGCAGAATAAAAAATAGTAGAGTTGGAAGGGATCATGTAGTCCAACCCCCTGCTAAAGAAGGAAACCCTGTAGCATTTCAGACAAACGGTTGTCTGATATCTTCTTAAAAACCTCCTGTGTTGGAGCACCCTAACTTCTGGAGGCAAGTCGTTTCACTGATAAGAAGGGACATAGCACATCTCCAGTGATTTATTAAAAATGCAGATGAAGATGGGGGCCAATTGTTCAGCACAGACTTTCAAGCAAGAAAGAGTTACTCCATCTGAGCCTGATACTTTTCCCATCATTTGTCTATGACAGTGGTGGCGAATCTATGGCACGAGTGCCAGAGGCGGCACTCAGAGCCATCTCTGTGGGCATATGCACCATCACCCCAGTCCTAGGCCTTCAGCTGGGTTTTATAAAACCTTTTCGCTTTAGGCCTGTGCAAAAAAAAAAAAAAAAAAAAAAAGGTTCAATCAATCAGTCAATTTCAACTTCTCGTGGGGGAAAAAAAAGATCTTGCAAAGTTGGAATTGATTGATTGAACTTTTTAATCTCATCCAGTCTGCCATTACCACCGCAGCCATGCCCACCCAATGGGCCACACCCAGCCAATGGGCCACACCCAGCCAATGGGCCACACCCAGCTGGCACCCGACAATGCATAAGTGGGTTTTGGGTTGCAGTTTGGGCACTCGGTCTCTAAAAGGTTTGCCATCACTAGTCTATGAAATAGACCTTGCACATCTTTTTCTAAGATCACCAGAGGTGAGAGGCCAGGAAGAGGATGAAGGATGGAGATAGGTGAAGAAAGATTGGCTACTGTTAGGGATGGGGAAGGTAGCGGTAAATGACAGTGATCTCTTTCAAACCTACAGTAAAACACATTCAAATCATCTGCCACTTGCTGATTCTCTTCAGTAAGGGAGGGAGATCTTATAGCTGTAGCCAATTATATTCTTCAGGCTTCTCCATACAGTTGCTGGTTTATTAGCTGAGAACTGGTTTCTCAGCTTTTCAGAGTAACTTCTCTTTGCTACCCTGATCTCCCTTGTTAATACATTCCTAGCCTGATAGAAGACTTTCCTTTGTTCCTAAAGGCTGATATGTTTTTAAATTTTCTGATTCAGATCAGAATGAGAATGGAACAGTACAAATAATATTTTCCTTGCTGGTATAATATAATTTATAAGTACAAATTGGAATAATGAGGGGAAAATATGATAAATTATTTCCAGGAAAGATATCATTGGCATGTGCCACAGTTGCTAAATAGGTTGTGCAATACAGAGAATAACACCTTCCCACTTCATCTTTATTGTCGGTCTTTTCAGGTCATTTTCATAATATAAAATCCTTATACCGATAGTTGTATTTTTTATGTTTTATTTATTTATTTATTTATCAAATTTATGTAGCTGCCCATCTCCCCAGAAGTGTCTCTGGACAGTGTACAACAACCAAACAAAACCATAATATAAAATTAGTCATTATAAAAACCATCATTATAAAAATATAGACAACTATTATTAATTTTAAAAAAACTTTAAAAAGTTAAGAGTATACAAACCACAAATGGAGAAAGAAGTATAGCAACCATTATCATCCATAACATGGGAAACATCTTGAGATGTCACCCAGTTCCTTGGGACTTCCGAGCCCGGCAATGTAACCCAGTTTTGACGGACATCTAGAAGATTAACAGGGATGGAAATAACCTAACTTTGGGATGGAGAATATTCCATAAGGCGAGTACCACAATACTGAAAGCTTGCTTCTTGGGACACGCCAAGAGTAATTCCCTAGCAGATGGGACCCACAGCATGCCTTTTCTGTCAGATCTGGTAGGACGAGCAAATATAAAATTGGGGAAAGATGATCCCTCAGATAAACCAGTCCATGTCATGAAGAACCTAAGTCAAAAACAGTATCTTGAATTGGACTTAGAAAGAAACTGGCAGCCCATGCAGCTTGTGGAGCAGAGGTGTGATGTGCTGTTCTGGGGACAAACAGAACTGCCCATGCCACTGCATTCTGGACCAGTTAAAGCTTTTGGATACTCTTCAAGGGCAGCCACCTGTAAAGCACATTACAGTAGTTCAATCTGGAAGTGACTAGGGCATGACCGATTGTGGGCTGAGCTTTCTGATCTAGAAATCTTCTTCTTTAACTGTAATTCATCTTGTTTCTCATGATTTTTTTCATTAATGACATATGCTTACAGTAAAAAATGTTTTGTATATGTAGCTTTGTAATATTTCTTGATGATATATTGTAATGTTCACACTTATTTTAAATTACAATCATACTCAGCTGTTCTCATTAGCCCTCATATTACATTTTCGGTTCTAAATTTCTACATCATCTACCTATTTGCTATTTTTTTAAAAAAGTATACATAGAAAATGACATAAACAGTAAAGCCCCAAATATACATATCAGCCTTTACTCCCTATGAAAGCAGAATAAGGAAGGAATCAAATCCATCTCCCTGAGGCATGTATTCTTGAAACTACTCCAGCCAAAAGCCTGTATCTCGAGATATGCACTACCCTGGTTTTAGTAGGTAGTAGATATAGCTGCTGTAATGAGCAGAGTCCAGGCAAGTCCCTCTAGAAAGACCACCTTGCTAAGTATATTGCCCTGAAGTTTTTTACATGTTGCAAATCAAAATCATTGCTTTATTTGCTCATCTAAATTGCACTGATCCAGTCACATTGTTCCTGTTGTTACATGGTTAGGGTAATGTTATTTACAAAAATAAAAGGATACATCAGCTATCTATCTACATTTCTGTCTCTGAATTTTATTTCTACACTTACATATTTTTCAGTATAGTAGTAGTAGTAGTAAATTCTTCTAGGGCTACACCAGTTCAGAATTTTGCTTTATCATACTGAAATACTCAGTATGTATGTTTTACTATACAAAAATATTCAATGAAGATAAACATGTAAATATTAGAGGAAAAACTACTTTTCTGTTTATTTTTTTTAAAGTCAGAATTAAATCGTTTGGATCTCACTTTCTATCTAACATGTTATAATGATATACACAGGTTTCCCATTTCTCGAGCCATAAAATGCTACAAAAGATAGCCTCTGTTAAAATATATATACCTTGAGTTGCTCTCTCTCACCTTAAAAATAACAGTATTTGGATTCATATGTGTTCACTTTGTTTTGCCATGTTTTTCCTAGTATAACAAAACTAAGTCAAATTCCATTATTTTGTGCAAGTTAAATATTCTTTGATTTAAATTTAGATTTGTTCTCCAACCAAACTCTGTAAAATTATTATCCAAAGCTGAATTTCATTATCTAATGAAAGCTTTTATTTGTCTTTAGACAACCTAAGCACATTAGTGAAAAGATATGCATGAAAAGGCATACATTTGATCCATTATATTATTTACTATAACCATCATTATTTTATCTTAAAGAATTTTCAAAAACTATTTTCCAATTTCCAGTTGCATTAATCAAATTTTACCAGTGACTTAAAATGATTATATTTTCCATCCAGATTTCTGTGCCTATTAAAATTACATATTAATAATTATTCAAAACTTGTCCCTACTTTAAAATATAATTTATTCACAACTTGTTTATGTTAACCTCTGACACTCTTTGCCAGCAATATTAATGCAATGTGTTATTCTAAAACTGTTATATTTATATTTATGAAATACTAAGTAGTATTTTTTTGTGAACATATGCTCCAATATCACCTAATCTATTGGATAGATGTTAGTAGCACATTTGCAAATAAATTGGACATTGATATGACGGATAACTAGGATTTTGTGTATTAGTAGTCAGTCTAATATTATCAGCTGTATATTCATTCTTTTATGCCATAACTTAGATATATTATTATTGATGCAATTAGTTAAGTTTTTAGATTGTATTTTTGAGCAGCAGATATATTCAATAAAGTTATTTACTCATTAGGAAAGAAAACTTTTTCTCCAAAATTTATTTAGCTTTGAAGAAGCTAAAAAACTGTATATTCTTTTATTTCATAGGAAAACACGGTGGCATATTTAGAGGTTTTTAAAATGCTGTGATATTTTGAAAAAAGCTGGATCTATTCACAAATATGCTGTCTAATATATGAAATCATGCTCAGTGATAAAATGATGCTTGTTGATCAGAAGAAAACACAATATATTATTTATCAGTAATATGGGTCGTGTATTCAAATGGCTTAGATTTATGAGAAAACTTTAAGAACAAAGGAGCAATCTAAGTGAAGAAATCCAAATATAATTATGTGAAACTAACATTTAAAATATGTTACAGATGCAGATGTCTCAGAATTATATAATTAGACCAATCATTCTCAAAATGTAGTCTTTGCCAAGTCAATTATTTTAAAAATTTTCTATTTTCTGATAAATGTCAATAGATATAGCCCATATAAAACAAAGCTTTTTGGAGTCTCAATTGTTTTTTAGAATGTAAAGGGATACTAAATGCTCAAGAACCGCTGAATTAGGCAAACAAAAAAAGTGACATAGGATTATAATTATACTAAAAAAAACTTGTTTTCCTTTTTACAGCAGTAATCCAGCTCATAAATACTATCTTGCAACTGATCCAGTCACAGGAGAATTGTATGTTTCTGATACAAATACAAGACGGATCTATCGTCCAAAATTACTTACAGGAACAAAAGACCTGACAAAAAATGCTGATGTAATAGCAGGGACTGGAGAACAGTGCCTTCCATTTGATGAAGCAAGATGTGGCGATGGTGGCAAGGCTGTAGAAGCTACTCTGATGAGTCCCAAAGGTGGAGGAAATTGAAAATTTATGCAGAGAAAAATGTGCAATATTAGTCAGCACACATGATAACATTTAATACTGTCTAGTTGTTTATTCAATCCTGTACTTATATCTTGTTTTCTGAATGGAAGAACCTTGCAAAAGTAAAGTTGCAAAAATGAAGTCTTTGATTTTCTATCATTGATAATTTATCTTTCATTATCATGCATTATGAATATTTTTACCTTCTATCAGGGATGTCCATGGAAACCTGGAATGATACCTAAAAGATAGCATGCATATGATGACATAATCATGCAAAAACCACAATTACATGCTTGCATCATAATCTGTGTTGCAAGTATGTAAATCATGTCAATTGCATGATTGCATCATTATGCATATGTCATCATTTGTTCATCTGTGGTCATGTATGCATGCTATAAAGATTTTGTATCCAGGGAATCATGAAGGGTTCAGTCTATACTTATACACAATGCTTAACAAACTGCAACGAACAATGCTTTATTTTCATATGTGATATGCCAGCATACTAGAAACATCTGGTTAGAACCCAATTCTATTAATTTCTTAGAGTCATTCTTGGTGTTTCATGAAAGACGTAAAAAGCAGTGTATAAATAGAACAGGAAAAACGTTGATTGTTATAATTTGAAAGAAAATCATATAGTATATGTTTGTTTGTTTGTTTTACTGAAGGAGTGACAGTAGATAAGAATGGATTAATCTATTTTGTTGATGGAACTATGATCAGGAAAGTGGACCAAAATGGAATAATATCAACATTACTTGGTTCAAATGATCTGACTTCCGCGCGACCATTAACATGTGACACCAGTATGCATATCAGCCAGGTATTTATTTATTTATTTATTTATTTATTTTATTTATTTACAGTATTTATATGCCGCCCAATCCCAAAGGACTCAGGGCGGCGTACAAAGTTAAAAACAATGATAAAACAGTAAAATAAAGCAGTCATACCACAGTCATACCGCGAGTCCGATCATATCCCGGCCCCCCCGGGGACATCAGCCCCAGGCCTGCTGGAACAGGAGGGTTTTAACAGCCTTCTTAAAGGCCGGCAGGGTGGGAGTTGTTCGAACCTCGGGGGGAAGTTGATTCCACCAGGTCGGAGCCACCACAGAAAAGGCCTTTCCCCGAGGGCCCGGCAGCCGACACTGTCTGGCCGACGGGACCCGAAGGAGGCCCACTCTATGGGACCTCACCGGTCTCTGGGAACTATGTGGCAGAATGCGGTCCTGTAAGTAACCTGGCCCTATGCCATGAAGGGCTTTAAAGGTGATAACCAACACCTTGAATTGCGTCCGGAGACCCACAGGAAGCCAGTGCAGCTCGCGGAGGATAGGTGACACGTGGGCGTACCTCGGCGCGCCCACAATCGCTCTCGCGGCTGCGTTTATTTTTAATAAAGTTCTTTAATAAAGAACTCTTTTTTCTTTTGAGATAAGTCATTTTCCCCTGAAACAGTCTGTACAGTATAATTCACCAATAATAAGATCAGCATGTTCTTTGTCAATCCACTAATCAAAAAAATAAATACAGGTCTCAATGAATAGATTATTCATTCATCCAGGTCTAATCTATTCATTCACATGTCTTTCAAGCAAACAAAACTCCTGGCAGGAGACAAGGAAAAAATGAGTTTTTTAAATTTTTATGTTATGGAATTTTCTTATACTTGTAGTAAACGTCTAATTTGTTTATGCCTTCTGTCTGTAAATTCTAGACAATTAAAAAACTCAGCAATAAATTTTGTGTTAAGATATTGATAGTTATTTCAACTTTGATCACTTCTTAAAATAAAATTTACTGTCTTATACAAGAATATTGTGTTGAATTTAATGCCCCTGGAAACAACCTTTAATTAAATTATTTATTATTTAATTTACAAAATGTAAATCATCAAAGTAAAACAATTATAAAAACCAAGATTTTATACCCTTTATAGCATCATTTTAGAAACAATTGAGAAAAAAAATCTTCAAGGTAGATTATAACAAATATTGCACATGTATTGACATATATTAGAAAATTACAAGACTCAGATGCATTTCGTACAAACATTTACTCATTATTCTAGTGTACTACAAGCATTTCTTTCTTTCTTATTTGCTTGCTTGCTGCTTCTTTACTGTGCTATAGTGGGTCAAAAGCTAATGTAGAAATCAGAACTGTATACCCAAAAGCAATTTAACACATGACCAAAATCAGGAAAGACTACCAAACCTCATAAATCCATATGTTTATCAAAACCTCTTCTTGTCTGTGCATAGCTCAGATGTGGCACCTCCTAATCAGAACTGTGATTGCAACTTTCCAAGAGATTTTGCTAGACTGGTGTTTTAATAAAAGGCTCACAAATTGATATAATTTTAAATATTGCCTTTTTCAATAGAGTTTCTCTAGAAATTTTCTTTGCATTGCTGGGTTTGTAGAGAGACAAGCTCTTAATATTGTATGGGAGTCAGACCTGAAGGCCCCATTTGTTTCCACAGAACCCCATTTAAACAAATTTATCATTAACTTTATTAATTATAAGCTTATTTTTTTAATTCATTCATACAAGTTCAGCCTCTAAAATCAAATGACATTGTTTCCAGACTGTTCATTATTTTTAATTTAATTGTTTTCATCTAAGTTCAGTCATTTAAATTGTTGAATAACACCATTCTCTGTAATTCTGTGCAATTAAAAGAAAACAGACAAGTATTCCAAAAGTAGCAACTAGAGCTATTTTAAAGTTCATCCAGAAACTTTATTTGGTTAAAGCCAGGTTAACTAATGTGTTAATAAATTGTTCTTGTTTTGATAAGGTACGTCTGGAGTGGCCAACAGATTTAGCTATTAACCCAATGGATAACTCCATATATGTGCTGGATAACAACGTAGTGCTTCAGATTACAGAAAATCGGCAAGTCCGTATAGCTGCTGGAAGGCCAATGCATTGCCAGGTTCCTGGAGTGGAATATACAGTGGGAAAACATGCAGTGCAAACTACCTTAGAATCAGCCACCGCTATTGCTTTATCCTATAATGGGGTGCTTTACATTACAGAAACAGATGAAAAAAAAATAAATAGAATAAGACAAGTAACAACTGATGGAGAAATTTCACTAGTTGCTGGAATACCTTCTGAATGTGATTGCAAAAATGATGTTAACTGTGACTGCTATCAAAATGGCGATGGCTATGCTAAAGATGCCAAACTCAGTGCCCCTTCTTCCTTAGCTGTATCACCCGATGGAACACTGTATATTGCAGATCTTGGAAATATTCGAATAAGAGCTGTGTCAAAGAACAAACCATTGCTGAATTCCATGAACTTTTATGAAGTTGCCTCTCCAACTGATCAGGAGCTCTATATCTTTGACGTCAATGGAACTCATCAGTACACAATGAGTTTAGTCACAGGAGATTATCTGTACAATTTTAGCTACAGTAATGACAATGATATAACTGCAGTTACTGACAGCAATGGAAATACCCTTCGTATTAGGCGTGATCCCAATCGGATGCCAGTAAGGGTAGTATCTCCTGACAATCAAGTCATCTGGTTAACCATAGGAACCAACGGTTGCTTAAAAAATATGATAGCACAAGGACAGGAACTAGTCTTGTTTACATATCATGGCAATAGTGGACTCCTAGCAACTAGAAGTGATGAAATTGGATGGACAACATTTTTTGAGTAAGTATAAGTTTATTGTATACCCTTTTGAAACATGCACAGGTTGGTGTAATTGAAATTTGATGTATATTAATAAGACTAATAAAGCAACTATTAGAAGAGGAATTGTGCACACAAAACAGAATACATGATCTACCTGATAAGAAATCCAGATTAATGCGGTAACCAAAGCTGATAGCCAAACTAGGTTAGCCAATCCCATTTGGGTAATATAGAAAAACAGCTAGCCAGTATTAAGTTATTTTTTTTTTTTTTTTTTTTATTGAAATTTTTTACATTTTACAAAAACAAATCCCCTTCCCATACCCCCCCCTACCTCACCCCCCCCCCCTTCCCAACCTCCCAAACCCTCCCCTGGACTTCCCAGAGCTGAGTACAGGCTTAATTAAAAAAAAAAAAAAACTTAAAACACTTTTAAAACCTAAACAAATTTAAATACAATCATCATTCTATATAAGCTCCCTCCAAAAACACAAATTTAAACATTACTTTCTTTGAATATCTATATCTATAATATAAAATCTAATTTCTCCCTCTTTCTTTGTCCTAAAACGAAAAAATAAACATACAAATCTTTGTTATACCATTAAAGCTAAATACTCTTAAAGAACTTAAAGTAAGTACATATTTCCTTCAATCTTCATAATCTTCTCTCCTATCCAAAAAGAAGAAAAAAAAAAAACAAAAAACAAAAAACAAAAACTTAAAAAACCTATAAGTCCTAAACAAATCTAAGCACATTTAATTAAACAAATTATTTTGTCTTAAAAATATTAATAATAATATTTAAAAACTAAAAACACTTTTAAATCCTAAACAAATCTAAATACAATCATCACTCTATATAAACTCCCTCCAAAACCACAAATTTTTAAAATTTAAAACATTAGAATCCACTCACTAAAATAAGCAAATTATAATCCCTTCAAAATAAACAATATTATCATTAAAGGTTCAAAACTTAAAACAACAAAGTTAATAAACACATTAAACATTTCAATCTTCACCAATAACTAATTCCATCCGTAAAAAACTACATCCTTATCAATCTCAATTATATTAGTATTATTAATTATTCACATTCCAGTTTTTTCCATTCTCCATTCTTCCATTCTTCCATTTCCCTTCTCCATTCTTGTATCAAACTCGTAAGAAATGCTGCAAGTTCTGCCTTAGGAGACTGCTCCAAAATTCCTGAATCTCCCATCGACTCCGAAGCCAATAAGGGTTCCTTAAATTCCTCCTTGTATTGATCTTTACAATTGTAAGTTGTACAAGTTATCCTCTGCCCGTTCCTCTCTTGTTGATGCCCCTCAGACTGAGATTTCCCAGTTTCCATTTCAGGCAACAATTCCACCCTTAAAGATTGCTCCAAAGACTTTGTAGGTCTAACATCTCCCAGAGATTCAGAAACCACTAAATATGAAACTTCCTTAACCTTCTTCTGTTGCTGCTTTTCTTTGGGATTATATACTGCACAAGTTGTCTTCTGCTCCTCAACCTGGACTTGTTGAGGCCTCTCACACAAAGATTCTCCAGTTTTCATAAATATAGGCTCTTCAAACTGTGATTCTACATTCTTTTCTTCCAAAGCTTTAAACTTAATTGATGGCGATGCACATACCCCCAGGACCGAAGTATAAAAATCTTTTGCTTGAGAAACAGTATTAAGTCTATAACATGTCCCCAGGTAATTCACCACCATTCCAATCGGAACATCCCATCTGAATGAAATTTTTCTCTTTTTAAGTTCATTTGCTAAAAAAGCAAACTCCTTTCTTCTTCTTAAAATTTTAGATGGGATCTCTTTAAAAATTATAACATCTTGTGAAGCAATTTGAAATCTCTTCTTATAATAGGCTTGCACAATTTCATTGCGTAAAGATCTTTTACCAAAGTAAATTACCACATCTCTTGGCAGATTCTTCTGTGCTGCCACCACAGAGTTAACCCTAAATAATTTTTCAATTTCATTAAGTATTCCCTCTTTTTCTTTATTCAAAATCAATGCAAAGTCCTTTGCAACCATCTCCTTCAGATCTCCTTGCAAAGACTCTCCCAGGCCTCTAATTCTTAAGGCATATTCCATTTGTCCATATTGAAGCATAAGAATCTCATTTTCCATTTCTTTTTCCATACTTTCAATTTTCCCCTCCATTATGTCCACTTTTTCAGCTACCTCTTCCACATGGGAGTTCACCTTTTCAAGAACAGAAGCAACACCTTCTAAAGCCAAAACAAAATCTTGTCTCAAGATCTTATTGTTTTCCTCTAAAATCTTTTTCATTTCTGCCCTAATTTGAATTATAACATCTCCCATCATGTCTTGCAAGTCCTTCATAGTTATTAGCTGACCCCCAGAAGAGGGTGAAACTGTTGATTTAGAAACTGTAGAAATCCCTGGACGCTTTGGAGCCATCTTAAAGAAAAACCTTTAGTCCTTCTTAAGCAATTATAAAAATTCCTTCAAAAATCATAACTCCCTCCAAAGAAGGTCATTATAATAAAAAGAAAAAAGGGAAAAAAAGGAAGAGAAAAAGAATTAAAAAAAAGTTTTACTCCTTCTTAAAAATTACAAAAAATTAAGCAGAAAAAAAGTCCTTCAAAAAAGGGTCATTACAATAAAAAAAAAAGGGGAGTTCAAAGGAAAAAAAAAGGGAGAAGGAAAAAAAAAAAAATTAAATAAAAAAAGTCCGTTCCAAAAAAAATACTTAGAGATACCAAAAACAACCATTCCAATCATAAGGAAATAAAAAGAGAAAGGGAAAGGAAAGAAAGAAAAACACCAAAAAGCCTGCCGGTCAGCATTCTAACTTCCAGAAAAAAAAACACCGAGGAGTTTGCCGATCGCCATTTTACTTTCCCTTTCAACAAAGAAAAAAAATAAAAAGAGAGAATAAAAATAGAAACAAATCTTAAAACTTAAAATCCAAATAAGTCAAAGAAAGCAAAAACTAAATCCTCTACTCAGCTCTGTCCATTTAAAAAAAAAAACTCACCAGTTCTCTTTAAGCACGGAGGTGTTTGCGGCGGCTCGTTTTGTCCCTGAGGACAAAAACAGCTGGGAAGCGGAGACAAGTCTGAACTCCGTGGGAGCACTCCTTTCACCCCCCCCAAAAAAAAACTTGGGGGGTGCGAAAGAGGCTCTACCACTATTCAGACACTCTCTACCCCCCCCCTTTGCCCGGGAGGGGGATTTTGAACCGCTGAACAGCTGATATCTGCTGTTCATAGCGGTTCTTACACTTACCCAGGAGGACGGCTACAAAGTAGCCGCCATCACGCACGCAAAATCCACCGGAAGTCCGTATTAAGTTATTTTGGCATGTAGTGCTGGGGTAGAAAGTATGAAAATAAGGGGTTTTTTTTTTTTGCTCTGGTGTGTTGAGCAGCTGCCCATAATTGTTTGCACTGGTTCTGAGAAAGTTCTTTTCCTCAGCAAAATGTCAGCATCTGTTTTCTCAATTATTCTATACGTGTTCTTATGAAAAGCAATTCAGATTATTCAGAACTCTGCTGGATTAGGTCCCAGATCCATCTAATCCAGCATGGATTAGATTCATGTATCATTTCCATTTATAGCTAACCAAACATCACCTAGGAAACATAGTCAGATTCTGAATGGAACAGCATCTCTTTCTGTGTACCTCAGAAAAGTGCTATGACTTATAACTAACAATAGCTGTCAAAAGATTGTTGCATCAATATAATGTTCCTAATGCAAGACTAGCAGAAGAGACATAAACCTAAATGGCCAGTCTGAAAAGTAATAAGGGAAATAACTTAGATTTAAACATTGCTAGGCAGCAATAAAAAAAAGAGACAGGAATGGAAGTTGGTTTTTAAATTGATACAGTACAAGATGTGAAAGAAGAACATAGAATAAGAATGAAAACATTCAAAAGACAATAGAAGAAATTTAAAGGGCAGAAGAAGAATGTGCTATAATCGTAAAATACGAAATTAGGTGAGTTGAAACATTAAACCAACCATTTAAATAGATTAGGGAATTGAATAAGCACTAATGGAGATATTTAAAAGCATATTGCCAACCCTATGTTAATTTAAAGAAATCAAAGAAACTTTCCACTATAGCCACCTACAAGCATCTCAAAAGTTCTCTGTTTTTGTTCTAAACAATATGACATACTATATACGGGAAAGAAATAACTGGATTCATTTCTTTCATGCACTTTACTATGCAGTGCAGGGTGAGTCCTATAATTGCTTTTAACATGCAACTTCTCCTATTATTCAAAAAGACCATTTGACTGTCAGATCAACTTTTATAGGCATGATAATAGAAAATTTATCTTGGAATCCAAATATAGTTTTTATTTTGTTATAAGAAGCCATCGAGACATTCCTATTATTCAGACATGTAGCTTCTTTCCAGAAAACAATTGAAGTATGAGTTTATTATGTAAATCAGTTAAACATCCTTTTCAATAGATGTATAAGGACTGGTATTTTTTAAAAAATGCATTTAGACATCCACCTGTTTAAATAACATGAAATCTTAATATTATTTTGTGGTAAAAAGGTATATTCTGAAGCTAAATATAAAATTAAGTCAAAATACATGGGAAAGTATGTCTAGATCAAAATAAAAATAAAATTTTGCTTTGATCCTACTTCACAAATCACATAAGCAAACCACATTCTCTTTTATTTTTACTTTTTTCTTTTACACAGTATGTGCTGCCCAATCCATTTGTGGCTCTTGGCAGCTTACAAACAGTGATATAAAAGCCAAGGTAAAAGCCATTAAAGCCCACTTAAGAAGGCCTTAAAAATTTTAAAGAACTTTTTAGAACACTAGGATATCTCAGTAAAATATGTTAAGCCCCTTCCAGAATTATAACAATTACTATAGCAAATTGTTCTCACAATAGAAAAAAACAGAATTAGCAAAAAGTATTGGACAAGCTATATAGGAATTAGCAGTTCTTTGAGTAACCTGGGCCCAAGCTATATAAGATTTTATACACCATTCTGAG